AAATTAAATGTTTATCCTCATTATCAAATAGACCATTATCTTAAGATACCTTTTATGGCACTATAATTCAATACCTAAATTTTATTTCATAAAACTGACCTCTTAACTGTGGGTTAATCTAAGGAATAAAAAAACACAAAAAGAAAGGAACTTAGAATCCTTAATAAATCTGGCTATGCCCAAAATTTGGTTTTAATATCAGTATTATGAGTATGAGACATTTTCTATCATTTCCTTAGACTCCTCAATCTATTAATCCTCATTTTCTCATCTTTCCAATAAATGCACCCTGAGCGACAAAGGATCTCGATACACTTTCTTTATATATTGACATGCAAATTACTATACTCTATCCAAGCTCAGGAAAGGAATATTGAGGAGTGCTCCCAAAAGTCTTTTCTGAAAAAAATACAAATAAATAAATAAAATGGTGGAAAGAAATAAAAAGTCCAGTGCAAGTTGCCAGTTTTTCCTTTTCTGAGATTGGAAGCAATACAACTTATCAAAGGGAAAGCATATAGGGAAAATGTAAAGATATCTAGTAACAGCTATTAGAATTAACTTAGCCACCAGCATCTATTTCTAGAGCAAACATAATGGCTCTTAAACAATACTGGACTAGCAAACACCATGAGAAGCCTCATTCTTACATGCATCCATTTCTTTTGCACAACAGGGAGAATACCAAGACCAACAAATTACTGTCCATCCATGTTTTCCTCTAATATAGTTGAATGTTTGAATAACTGCTACTTTGTAAATCTTTGTAACAACTGGCTTCAGAAAAGAAAGAACAACAGTATGATTTACAAAGCACCTCACTTAAGAACAGCTAGCCTATATATGAGAAAAGACAAATATAAATAATAGGCTTTTCATCTAAACAATGAACTGTAGGGAATAGAAATGTCAATCTAAAATATCAGTCCATCTGTTTCACTAAAATTTTACTCGGTCTTGGTAAATTCTTTTCTTAACATCTACAACCCTGGATAAGCAACACAAGAACCTATACAATAATAATAATAATAATAATAATAATAATAATAATAATAATATAACAATAATAATAATATAGTAATAATAATAATATAATAATAATAATAATAATAATAATAATAATAATAACAATAAAAAGAAGAAGAGTAACAGACGCACAGTATATATACCTGAGAATGCAATCAGTGTGAGGAGCAAGGCAAGACACCCTCCGTACAGCCAGAACAGGACGAAGATACCCAGCATCACCGCAGCTGAAGTGAACCAAAACTTCCGCATCACTATGAGCACAAGGCCTGCTACGAATTTTATCACAGCAAAGTCTGCCTTCTGCTTTGGGGTCATTTCCTCCTCGCAGTCGTGGCTGTGGTGATGGTGGTGGTGTTGGTGGTGCTGATGGTGGAGGCAGGCTCTTGGGCGAGGGGGGGGGTTTGGCGGAAGACAAGGCTGTCCGCTCTCAACGTCACTCGAAGAAGCCATGATGGTGGTCGGGGTTTTAAGTCAGGGAAACTTTAATATATGTACATATATATTTGTGTGGAAATATATATATTTTTTTTTCTTGTCTTTTCTGTCTTTGTAATTTTTTCTTCTTCAAAAAGTATTCCTATAGGCCATTGTCTTGTCCTTATCTCTTGACACAATCTACTTTGATCAAATTCCTCCCTAATCTGTATAACGGCTGAATATCTCTGAAGACTTTTTCCATCCCAGTGATTTACTAATGACACTTTCTCGTGATGTACATTTCTTTGTTCTTGGCAACTTGAGATGCCATGCCTGGAATAAATTTAATGAATATTATTAGGTATGTAGTACTTACGAGTCTCAACATCACACCAAATAATAGCATATGAGCCTTATTATATCAATACAGCAAAGCAATATATTGATAAAATAAATAATCAAATAAATGAAATGCCAACAACAATGATGATATAAATAAATGTGCAAGGTGAACATTGGACAGACTAATGAACTATTGTATCTCTTACTTTATAAAAGCAGACAGAGTAACTTCTAATCAATAACATTACTTTTCCTAAATGTTTGAATGTCAAGCTTTTGCAACAATTATGAGAAGCAATTTTCCCGAACACTGCAAGCCTATCACCTCTATAAATTATACCATAACCTAACCTTTTCTTATAAACCTAACTCAACTAAATGAATTACTAGTTACATCACATGATAAGAACCTATGTTCAATGGTATATGAAATGACCTACACAAACATTATTGATAATCTAACTTATATTACAATAAAGAGAATTGTAATAGCTCCATGTGTTGATTCCAATTACTTAGCAACATTACCCAATTTCTAATGCCTTATTACCTTTTGTCTTTTCTGATAACAATATGTTCTTCCCAAATGAAAAGGATTCATTTGATGCAGCGCAAGACTACTGCTTCAGTAAATGTATACCAAAGTCATATTACCTAATTTTAATATAGTTTTCTTACTCTCCTTTCTTACCTAACAGAATTATAATGAATCTCATAAGGATTCGTGCTATGACTGTCACTTGTAACCTCCACCTACATGAATCTGCTTTTATGATTGTTCATTTGTTAACTTATTTTACCTCTACTTCACTTGTAATTTGCAAAGGAAATGCCATGGTGGCGTGTGTCTTTCACTACCTCTGTTTATCTAATCCATATACTGTTCACAGGAAAAGCTTGACAGGTAACCATTATAAAAAAATAACTCCTCCAATCTATTATTATCAACTCTAATTAAACCCTTTTTTCTAAAATTACAGTTAATGATTCAAACACAAGCTTCTTCATTTAGATGATATGATTCCATATTAAAGCTTAAGCATTATTTTTCTGTGACTTTTCCTAAACTAGTTTCATTTTAGACTTATCATTATACAAATAAGACCTATTAACAACAATGATTCATATCCAATAAAAACCTTAATACTCACATAAATTCCCTTTTCCACACTAAAATCTCACTATGCTTTCCAACCTTTCCTAGTGACAGTTAAGATAATCATTCACTTGTACACAACATAAACATAAATAAACATAAACATAAACACAACTTCAACTGAAGGAATTCTTATGAATTATATAAAGAAAAAATATTAAAATGGTACACCAAAAATTTACTACAGGTTCCAAATTCGACTTCCAGGCGTTGAGAAAATTTTCCCAATCGCCAATTTATATCCATATTAAATCTAAATAATCGCTTCTCATCCAATTAATTAACATCATTCCAATATTTACCTTTTTCCACAGAACCAGAATCTCAAAGACGAAACATAATCCACTAATTCCCTCCTTTCCTATCCATCGCGTCCTATACCACTCACCTCATACATATCCTACATAATCCTTCTTCACTTCCATGAGGGACAGGAGCCACACAGAGGCTTGATTTCCCCGCAGTTCATTCAAAAAGAGAGAAAATGTTTCGGTGAACTCAAATGAATGGCAGATTGTTTTGAAGATGACTCAATAGACGAGTGGGAATGTCGAGGTGGCGAAGGGGTTGGAACATAAGAGCATCGGTAATTTGGCGAGAAAACTATATAAAAGGGGTTAGTTACGGGATTCATGAAAGAATCTGATACCTCAAAAGAGAGTTTCTGATACCTCAAATGATACCTCGAAAGAGAGTTTTTAAATTTGCTTATTGTCGCTCCGGTGTTGAAAAAAATATATATCTATATTCCACCGTTATTTTTTTGTATTTTTTTATGTAGAACTTAGTATAACTGCTAAATTCACATGGAGAACCATAATTCACGATTTACTTCTGATTTACGTGGCACTCCCTTATTATTTCTAATGAAAAAAAAAATCCTGCATTACGCTATTAGAATTGCACAGAGATCTGTAGTTTGTATATTTTCGTACATTAATTTTCTTTATAATTATAAAAAGGAGAAAAAAATAGAAATACAGCCTACGATATCGTGCAAAACTTCACCAAGGCAAGAGAAAAATGAAACAATTATCAGAAGAAAAATAAAACAAGGGAAATATATAACAGAATATACTAATAATGTCCAGAGAGTAATTAAAATTCACTGACAATAATAAAAAAAATAGAAAATAAAAATAAAAACATATATATCACAAGAGCGGACTTACCTGCAGCGGATCCGTATCTATGACGACTGAATTTATTTGCCTGGAGATCTGCTTTCAGGAACCCAATATTGCGGTCGATATCATATGGCATAAACAGGTATGACGCGAGTACAAGGTAAATTTAGATATGATTGTAAATGTCCTATGGATTATCATTATCCTGAATTCTATTATTGTTTTAATGTGATTTTTTCTGTTTGTGTGAAAACGCATGCGCGTGGGGGTATGTATAGTATGAATATGTGAATATATATATACATATATATATATATATATATATATATATATATATATATATATATATATATATATATATATATATATATCTGTGTGTGTGTGTGTGTGTGTGTGTGTGTGTGTGTGTGTGTGTGTGTGTGTGTGTGTGTGTGTGTGTGTGTGTGTGTGCGCGCGCGTGTGTGTGTGTGTGTGTGTGTGTGTGTGTGTGTGTGTGTGTGTGTGTGTGTGTGTGTGTGCGTGCGTGTGTGTGTGTGTGTGTGTGTGTGTATGTGTGTGTGTGTGTGTGTGTGTGTGTGTGTGCGTGTGTGTGTGTGTGTATACATCATACACACTCAGACACACATATGTGTATGTGTGTGAATATATATATATATATGTATATACATATATATATGTATATATATATATATATATATATATATATATATATATATATATATATATATATGTATATATATATATATATATATATATATATATATATATATAGATAGATAGATAGATAGATAGATAGATAGATAGATAGATATATACACACACACACATATATATTCACATCCATGAGTGTATGTGTGTGTGTGCGTGTACGTATATATGTATATATATGTATATGTACATATATATATGTATATGTACATATATATATG